CCGCAATTTCAATATTCTTTGCACCTGTTTGTACAACCTAATATATGTATTTCATTAGTGGATGGTACATCGTTGAGAGTCGTATATTAAATAAAATGCAAACCTCCAACAGCGATTTGACTGCTAATTTGATGGTTTCATCTTTATTCAAATCCTCCTTGTAGTTTTTCTCCAGGAATTCACGAACAGTTTTTGAACTCCTGCCAATCGCATTTGCCTAAATTATATATTTATAAGAATCATAAATTTTTTTGAATCACGGATATAGATAGTTAAACAATCACCTTCCACGCAGAATATATTCCCGACGGATCAGTTTGATAAAGTTTTGGCATTTTATCATTCGCGTCAAAACCAATTATCAGTGTTGAAATTCCAAATGGGCGAACACCTCCGCTCTGTGTATATTTCTATTGCACCAAATTTCCTTATTAGACGAATACTTTCGGTAAGTTTAAAGCAATATAAACACACCTGTTGAACTCCAGCTATGTAACGTGTGATATATTCGACCGTCACGGGGTCCTCTACAGTGAGTCGGTGACTTTGACACTCCACTCGGGCCTTGTTAACGAGCACTCTCGCGTCTGCACTCAGACCTTTCGTTCAGAAATGATGTTAGTACCGCGATTGTTCAGGTGAAACAGAGTAAGAGCGAGAAAAAAACTCACCAGCAAAGGCCATGCATACATGGTCATCGAGCATAACTATTTTTCGCACCGTACGCGGGTCCTGTAATTTGAGAACCGACTTCTTCTCGACACCAAGCACTACGCAATCTCCTCCACGGACACCTACCTAAATTCATCGGATTCAAAGTAAATGGATATATTCCAAGAGCTATATTAAATCATCGGATCGATGTGCAAATAATTCTGTATACCGCACAGGTACCCTTTCTAACAGCTTCTAAGGCATATTCTACTTGAAAAAGGTGCCCGTCTGGCGAAAAGACGGTCAAAGCTTTAAATTGAACAATGAAAGATATCAAAATTATAATTCATTCCCAAGAATTAATAAAAGAAATAAGAATAACGCTTCACCGCGATCATAAGACCCCTCCATTATTCTATTTATTAGATGAAAAAGAATGTTTGACGATCAGATTAATAATAAATCTTCTACTGATCGGCCACTGATCGTCGAGTATCCGAGTACAACCGGCATACGTACACGCACTTACGTATTGATATAGATTATCAAATACATGGATTTCGTAGAGGTAAAAATGTATGTCTGAAATCTTTGGCACACGGAATGAGTACACCTAACCTTGATTACCTTAAGGCGATTAAACTTACTGCGGATCACAATGACAAACTCCTGGATACACTTAGCAAGTTTAATAGGAAGCTAACAAAAATTTGCCATAATGAGGATGAAATCATTTCTGACAAGTACGCCTGCCTTGAATGTAATATACTAGCAAAAGAACAACTGATTTTAGTACGCAATTACACATTTTCACTATCCTTAAGAATGAATAGAATAAGCCTGACTTTTCTTTCCCGCGTTAACAGTCACAATTATTAGAAAACGATAATGAATTCGTCGTCTATACCGCACAAATATTGTTGACTCGATGGCTTTTGCTTATTTCTAATAAGGTTTATCATTCGATTTATTAAGCACATTCCCCTTA